ACCGGAAGCGGCCGCTTTGATCCGGAAGTCAATAGAAAATTCAGCCACTGTTCTGTTCCCTTGCTTTATTTCAAGCAATCCACGGGATCAGTCTCTTGATTAAATGCTTGCTTAAATTCTTTAATGAATTAATGATAAGTACAACCGTACTCAATCTTGGAAGAGAATTTAGCTTCCGCCCACTCCAAGGCTTTACCAGACAGAAGAGACAAAATAAAAGAAATCCTTCTTCCATCTTGCAAAAAACTGAGGGGTGAATGATTAAAAATTATAGAACACTGGAACAAAAATCCCTTGCACTTACTTGGGTCTCCAGAAAATCTTTCGGGGAGAGATGGGCGGAATTCAGGAAATGACGTGTGGATCTCTGACCTGAGAGGTGGATTGGAATCTGGAACCGGAAGTTGAACGGCTTCAGCCGCAGCTGTAACGGCCTGAGAGCTGGATCTTTGGAGAAAATCAGTTATTTCATGCACGGTGCGGTTAGCTTCAGCTTGGCGTTTATTTAGCTCACGGAGGGCGGAATCATGGCTCTGAATGAGGGCTTACTGTTGCTCCAAAGTCCTCTTGAGTGTTTCCGCAGGGCTAGTTTGTTGGCCAGAGTGTTCTGTCATGTTGGGTTCAAGGCGTCTAACCCACATGCAGAAAAACACTCTTAAGACAGGGAAAAAGTTAAATGATTTATTTACAATTATTTACAAAGAGAGTTTTGCACGGGTTCTGCAGTCTGGTCAAGGGAGGAACACCACTGAGCAGGACAGAGCAGTTAGAATGGATCCAGGAAATGGGCAGTTTACAGATTACGGGGTTAAATACCTGCTCAGAAGGGATTCTGATCAGCAGGGGGGGAACCTTGTGAGTCCAGAGGCTTGTCGGCAGGCAGAGGGCTGAGGGCAGAGTTTTCAGGTTTCCAGGCAAGTCAGGATCTGAGAGACAGAGAGAAACAGGGTCAGACAGGTTCACAAAAACAGGGTCTATATCAGGCTAGCTGGCTCAGGTTTTGCTATCCATTACTGGCAAACACTGGCAGGGAAGTGTCAGTCTCCTCCACTGGCAGGGAAGTGTCAGTCTCCTCCTCCTTAAATAGGTCTCTTGACGAGGAGACAGGAAACAGGTGTGTGGGTGAGCTCATGCCCTCAGGAGGAGATCTCGGGCACCTTCTGGTGGAGAAAGTGGACAAGCCTCCAGATCCCAACAAGGCAGACAGATCAGAACGGGAACAGGCAGACTCAGAGGTCCAAAGGCAGGACGGGTCAGGATGAGGCACTCAAAAACACTGAAGTACACTGAATAATCTGGCACTGATGACAGGTTGAAGGCTGGTTATAAAGAGAGTGAAGCAGGTGGATCAGACAAATGGTAATGAGATATGGGCAGAGATAGGCAAGTGAGAGAAATTAGTAATCATAATACTCATCAGCGCCAAGATCATGACAAATGTTGAGTCACTATTCAGCATATGAGGTGAAAAAAATCATAGTTGGTACAGCCTTATTTATTTTACATCCTGTAGTTGATTTTTAGAAATTATAAATACAGGTCATTGTAGATTAAATACAAGACGTTATCAGAAAACTCAATGTCATCAGTCATTTATTTTAATTATAAGGTTATTACATTTGTCATCAGCAGCTCAATTCTTTAAGTTAAACAAAATATATATTTCAATTACACAGAAAAAGACTGACTTTTTCAGGTTCTGTTAAACCTCATTATTTTTTTGCCTAGGTCTAAAGAAATATGACATTTAAGATGCTAAAAAAGTCATTCCAATAAACAAAATTTTTAATACAAATGTTTTAGCCTTACATAAATCTAAAAAGGACTTTCCAAAAACACTTTATTTTGAAAACTATGTAATTCATTGAGTATAATTTTTATAACAGATGGTTCGGTCAAGAAAGTTATTGCAAAGCAACCATCTCAAAAAATGTTTCTTTTACTAAAACATGATCTAGACTAGCCTCCATGAGGATGTTTTGCTCCGCAAAACTTCACTTTAACAAACTGACCCTTTTAATTATTGATTCTCTTGAGGAAGCCACTTTTTTTATTAAGTGGAAATTAATGTTATGTGGTTTGTATCTAAATCCAAGACGTGTTTTCCTACATGTTTTAACTGAACATCCCTCATTAATTTTTAACTATTGAGGAAAGGTGTGTCATTATTAATGCAAGTGCCCCCAAGTTCTGATAACATTTGAACTTCTCTGTAGAAGGACTTCTGTAGATCTTAATTGAAATTTTTTGTTAAAAAATCTAATATCTTTTTTTGCTGGCTGACTTGTTTCGTTTACTTTTTGTCGCTTCCTCAATGTTTGATTAATCTGTTTAATTAACTCCAAAATCTCTACATCCTATTCAATAAAGAGGGATATTGTTTTCCTCAGCTTCTCCTCACATGTTCATCTTCTAAATCTTCCTTGTATGAGGCGATGATTCAATACCTCAAGATGGACATGCCCTGCACATTTTTACTGTTTCTCTGGTTTATCACAGGCTCATGTTGAGCTGTAATCATCTAAAGCAGATGTGTTAAAGGGGGAACTTCAATAACATGTGGGATAGTATGCTGTTATGACCACCATTAAAAGTACTGCTCTACCATTGCTCAAAGCTCAGTCTCTGGTTTGGTTTTTGTTCCATATAATGTATCTCAAAAGTCTTCACACCCATGTTAAGTTTGCAAGAAATATGAGCTTAGTGCATCAAAACGATTCAAGGTTTGAAAATAATCTTGTATTTTTATCCAGTTGACCTCAAAACACTTCTACATATCTCCTAGTTTAAGAAGGGGATCTCTGTTTCAACATGTTGTTGTGTTAGTTCTAGCTTTTCTCTGGATTTGAGCCTGGGAGCTTTTCTGATGGGTGTGACTCTGCACACCTGTTTTCTTTCTGGCTCATCACCTGATTGCTGCAGAGTGATTACTCTTTGGTTTAATCTCAATACAGAAAATTACTAAGGACTCTTAGGCGTGTGTCAGCAATCGCTTTGTTAAGTCCTGTCAGAATAGGGCTGGTAGAAAGGATGGAGGGAGGAGAAGAAGCCTGTATGCTTCCTATCATGGTTCTGAGTCAATGAAAGAAAGAGCAGGGACAGGTGCTGGAAGCTGGAATTTGCTGCCTGCTAGTCAACCATTGCTGGCTAATATCTCTTGTCTGGATCCATCACCTCAGAACTTTTGTTTCCTGTGTTCCTTCTCAATCTATGGTCATCTACTGCAGCCCCTCATCCTCTGATTTACTCCTGTCTGGCCTCAATGAGTCCCACTCCTCTGGTTGAGGGCAATCTTAAAGTGACTACAGACTTATTTTTTTCTACGTCACGTCTGACTTAGGCTTGATCCCTTTCTAAAAAAATTTATTTTAATAAAACCTTTGATGCTCATTAATTACTTTGGTGCTAAATTGTGTCTTTTTCTTTTAATATTCAGCTTTTTTAGTAGGTACCCTGCAGGATTTTGGTTATTTTGTTTCTATAGTTCCAAATTTACAGTTATGTTAAGAAAGCCCCGAAGTCTCTCTCTCTCTCTCTGTGAAAAAGGTGTTTTATTTGTGCAGAACATGTCAGTGTGTGTCAGATATTTCTTGCTCTATACTTCTGACTGATGCCTCTGTATGATGCAACTTCTATGCAAACTATGGCTCAAACTGAAGGGATTGAATGTTGGAAAATTCAGCTAATTAAAGTAAGTCTTAAGTTTTTAAAGGGTCCTTCAACCAAAAGTATGTGTTATAAGAGAAATTTTTAATACATTTTTTTGTTTCAATTGAATAATGCATAAGAAAAGTCTCATAATCCCTCACTCTTGTTAGTAAAAAATTATTTATTTTCTGTCATTTTTTAAAATGATAATATATTTATTTAAGGCTTTACTAAGAGAAAAATATACACTGTTTGAGATTTCTGTTACTCTGAGATCACCTCTGGTCAGACGAGAACAAAGCATATGCTGATCTCACCCGACGCAATATCATTAGTGTCCTATTTTCATTCCTCCCACCAAATCGGTCCTCCCATCTTCTTCCCATCCCCCCATGGTTTTGTATAAAACAGAGCGGGTGATGGTGAAGGATGATAGGAGAGAGGAGAAAGACTGAGAGAGAAGACTAAAGAAAAAGGTGGAAAATAGACTTATGAGTGACGAATGTTCTCAGAGTAAATAGGGCTTATTGATCTTGTAATGAATTGAGAGGCCAAAGACAAATGGACCTTTGGTTAGGAGCTTTGTTGGTGAGCCGACCAGATCCAACAAACCAAACAACAGAAAAACATTTAAATCATTTATGGGGGAGGGGGGGAGGATTGAAGCTAAGATCAGTGCACCTCATCAAATACTCAGCGTAAGCCCTGTGGATTTTAGATTGCTGGTGTCCACTAACGCCTCAGCTTTATCCTCCCTTAAAAGAGGCAAAATCAGCACGAGCCCAAAGCAGTGGGGGCTATTTCTGCATCTTAAAGATCTTAATGTGGCCTGACCTTTGAGACTGAAGTCGGACACATGCCGAGGTGTACATAAAAGGAGTGATGCAGAGTGGAGTCATCGTTGCTTGGGGTGAAAGGGGGTGTAGCGCTGAACTGCACAGAGCAGCCCACACAGAGAGAAACTCTCCCCTCATTCTGTGTTCACATTCATCCACTCCTGTGTTTTTATCCCCCTTCAAAATCTCTGAAATTCCTCATTTTAATCTGCATGTAGTCTACAATTTACACTTTGTCCAAAATTTTGAAGACCACACACATATTTTTTCCGCTACTGCTAACCTTAACATCTATTCTAACCCCAATCATAATCTAAACCCAAAATCAAGCTGTAACCTCACTAATCCTCTTAGAGAAAAAAGAAAGGCAAAATACTCTCCCTTCTCATGTCTGTCCATTTACTGTTCTTAGGGGGACCACTTAGTGATTGAAATGACAAATAGCACCAGGTAGTGTACCAGCAGGCTTTAGGACCCAGTTTATCAGGCTGTACAAGCATTGGAGTGAGAAAAAAGGAGAGGGAGAGGACAGAGAGGAGAAGAGGAGGAGACAGAGGTAAAGTCGGAATGACAAGCAAAAGCTGACACAGTAACCATAGCAAAGATTAAGGAAATACCTTCTCCTGTTGGCGAGGAGGAGGAGGTGTGGATGCAGCATACTGGAGATGTTCAGCCTGGAAGAGATGGAGAGTCTCTGACAAAGGATGCAGGCTTCTACTGCCAGGCTGAGAAGATTTTACATCTTCATCCAAGCAGCCAAAGGGATGCTGACAAGTTTGCCTTCCAATTCCTCCTTTAAAGCTCCCACACAAACACGTGTACAGTTCCCTGTGCATGCCCAGCTCTGCACTTAGATATTTTTAGTAAAACTTCCCACATTCTTGACATAAAAAAGGATTGGACTCAAATTCTTTATTGGTGTAGATACCTTCAGCTGGGACAGGAGGGCTCATCCTGACAGGTCAGCACGGAGCCACTTTGAAGGTAAGAAAATATTCAGTGGAAGATTTTATCATTTCAGGCATTCTTTTAAGTTTGTTTACATGAATTGATAAAGCAAGAATGATTTTTTTTTACATATAATCATAAATTGCACATAAGCGCATTTATGCAATTCTGATCGACTCATGCCATTGCTGGATTTCTTTGCAGCATTGCAGAGCTCTGTTTTTTTTTTTTTTTCTTTTTACACTGAATCAGCCCTGTGTCTTGATGATACACCTTTAAATAATCTATGTTTCAGCAAAAGCTCTTTTTGCTGTAACAGTCCTTTTCCTATGAAAATACACAGGAGAACTTAGGGTAAACCCTGTAGCTGCAGAGCAACCCCTTCGTGTAAATACATACTGCAATGCTCCATTGTTTACCACTTCTGGTCTACCTACTGGTGTATAAGAAGCCTTGTGAAAAGATTTAAAGATTTGCAGCCAGATAAAGGTAGTGAGTTTTCTAACTATTTGCAAGGTTCTAAATTTGGATGCTTTACAGCATTTATTGTTTCATGCAGGGGGACAAAATGTGAAAATACATCCCAAACAATAGGACACGCAGTGTGCTTCGCTTGCCAGGAGTCTTGATTAAGAGCAGGGGCTTTCTCTGTTGTGGGTGGGCACACAGCACTCCAATCAGACTGTGGTCTGAGCTATTGGCAAAAAAAAACACAACAATTACAGCAAAGAAACATAATGTTCAGACAAACTTAGAAAATAGTCAGAAGGTTTAAAAAAGTATTACGTTTCAGGAGTTAAATGCTAATGCAGAAATCATGCAAACAAAAAAGACAAATATAAAACTAGAGAAGGTGAGGTTAATATAGCTGATTAAGAAGCAATGTTTAGAAAATCATATGCATAATTAAAAGAACAGAATATAATTTATTTTCATTGTGTACAGCTGTTATTGTAAATTGCAGGCTGGCTCTGCAGTCATACACACATAAAGAAAAGCAATAAAAACAGAAACAAAACTAATTTCAGTTTGATCAATAATAATATTACTATATTACTATAAAAGTGTAATAGTCACCCATCTCTATATTTCAGCAGAAGTTGAACAATGAGATGCACAGCTTTTTTAATGCCTAAAAACAGAAAAATCTGGTAGCTAAATAGTCTTACAAATAAAAGAAAGCAATTTTATAACGAGCTTTTAGTTAACTGAATACAACCTTAGCTTTACAATCAAAGGGATATTTTAATCTAAGCTCATTTTCAGACCGTGATGCTTGCAAATATTATTTAATAAGGTAACAAACATCTAGATACTAAAGGAAAAAGGGTTACAATTTTATGGTTAACAAAATAAATATGAGTTATTACTCAGATTCCAGTTGATAAGCTACAGTCCATCACTGCTCCCGTTGTGTTTGCATGAAGCCTGTTACTCAGATGTCCCACACTGCACAAAGGTTTTGTTATTGAACACATGTTGTTTTTACTACTCGACTTCAATGAATTTTCTTTTTTAACACACTTAATGCAGCTGCCCAAGGTATCGCAATGCAGTTTTTTTCTCTCAGTAATAAACACAAGCAGGCATATGCAGGACACTATGCTGCAGTTGAGATGATGTAAACAGTCAGGATGACAACCGTGCAGAATGGGCAGCAGAGAAGTAATTGACTCTTGTCAATAGATGTGAGGTTTTAAAGACATGTTCACAGCTTTTTTGAAACCACAAATAATGTTTCTTAAAAAAAAATAAAATAAAAACAAGCTTGATGATTATGATTTTCTTTTTGGTTAATTTAAATTATTGCAAAAAGAAATTGAAGACGGCAAAAAATTCTATACATACACATATACATATGCACACATGCACAAAGCTTTTATGTTGCAGAGAAATAATGCTAATACAGCTTTACAATACTCTTTCATATGCAAATCTAACTTATGAAAACAAAATTTGGATTTGTGTTCTCATACTTTTCTTTTCTCATATGTTTTGATGATAGTCACTTATTCTTTTCTGTTTGAGCCTTCTTTAAAAATTAACAAGGAAGTACATAGTTCATTTTCTGGAAGTCCATTCCATAACTTCACACTAATAACTGAGACACATCTATATTTAATATTTGTTCTTACTTTAAAATGCTCAAATGATCCAAACCTCTTAATTTAATAAAGACTTTCTCTTAATTTAAAGAAAATTTTAACACTTCATAGAATTTGAAACTTGTCATTTAAATTACATTTTCTGATCCTTTTTTCACATTATAGCTCAGATGGAAAAATAATAGGACAAAAAAAAACAACAACAGAACAGGATGAAAAAATAAAACTTGATCATTGGGGGTTCTGGTGGGCTTTTCCTGAAAAGTTCCAACAATTTTCCCTTTCAATGTTGGCTGACAGTTTGGATCGTAGCAGAGAGGTGACATCTCTAAAAAACTTAATTATCATTAGATTATAAATTTGAGTCTGTTTGCATAATTTGATCCTTTGTAGGTTAGAGAAATCCTACATTTCTACTCCAACTTATCGGAGTGCTGTGTGACAGCTTTAAAAAAAACTATGAATTAAGCACATCCTGTAAAAAAGTAAATAAAACCCATGTTGAGACTATTTAGGCCTGCTTCTATTTTGTTATATTTAGGATTCTCTATGCAGTTATTTGCTGTTTGAATTCAGTTCGTGAAATTCTAACCTAAAACACACGACAAGCAATCTCAAAAAGACTAGACTCTGTTTTTTAGATCAACACACAGTCCAAACTCTCCCAGATGGCTGACTTTGAACAAGTCTTTTGTTGCAGAAGACAACTGTCTCTGTTAAACAACAAACCATTGTATGAAGCACCAGAATGCTGAGATACAGGTGCAATATGCAGCAGCGATGATGTTACCAATTAGGCTGTCCATACCATTATATATCCTTCACCATTCAAGCCATGTTTTTTATATTGTCACTACAGATAGAAGAGTGCTGGGATATGTATTGTTATAGTCCATTTCTAAAACAATTTATAAACTTTTAAATAAATCAACTGTTGATTCAGATTCAGTTTATGATAATATATTTTAAAATGTGCATATGACGATACACAGCAAAATCACATGTGATAAATTTTCAATTTTAATGTTGTATAATTTCAGAAAAAAACAGTTAATTCAACACTGTGACGTCTAGTGTAACTTTCCAATAGTTAGTCTTTGTTGTTGTTAATCTGTGGAGTTGAATCCAAAAACAGAAGGGATTCCGAGGGTTGATGGTTCAAATCCAAGCTCAGTCCATCTCCGACAAGACATTTCACAGGCCTTGGTCACCGATGGTGGTCAGATGGCTCAGTGGTGCCAGAGTACAGCCACCTGACTTCTGTTGGTGTACCCCTGAGCTGCCTTGGCAAAAATGAAGCTCATCACCAAGAATAGGAGAATAATTAACACTAGTTTGTGGTGTTAACTTTTGACAATACTGTTACATAAATTCAACATTGGGGTATAGTGTTAACATTTCACATTATACAGTGTTGTTCCATCTTTGTCACAGTGTTAACTGTTTAACACTTCCAAAAGAGTGATTTGAATGAAATCTAGATCAATATTGACAACTAAGTGGTATAGCTCATTTATTTTATTATATTTTACCTGCTATATTTTTGTGTAGTAAATCTTACATCAATATAAAAGTTCAGCTTGTTAAAGGCTCTTAATTCCTCCTAAAAGTCCATGAAGGGAAAAGTTTTTCCTGTTTATCCTCTTTTACCTGTTGGGTAATTTAAGTGGCAACCACTTCCTTTAAAGTCCATTTGGAAACCAAAAAATTGTCATTTGTTTGTCTTACAAATGTAACAACACTTATCCTCTATTTCTTTACTTAGATGCTTTCAGTTTCTCCAAGCTGCAGATTTTGTGACTGCAAGGAAGCTACAAAATGACCTCACATTGCACCTTTGGTGGGCTTTCAAATGTCATCCTGTTCTATTCAGGATCCAATTTTCTTTTTTTATCACTTGATTTTAAAAATCATTGTATGACCCAAACTTTTTTACCCTTATCCTCCTGTCAGAGGTTGTAAAGGAGCAATAAGTAAGAATGACACCTTGTGTTCCAACACACAAAACACATACCGTACCTACTGATGTGCGGTTGTTGTGCAGGTTATCCAGTCAAGAGAGATGAGGATGATGAGTAAGAGGATTTACAGTAAATTGTGAAAGTATGTTTGAAGGATGCCAAGGCTTTCAAAGGTTGAGACTTTTGATGTTTCTCTCACTGGTTTCCATGTTTGCAGGCTGCTGCTCTTTTGCCAACATAAAATACCAAATTATGCAATCTTTTTGCAAGACGAGGCGGGCACAACTCAGAGAGTCCCAGACGCTGAAGTCCTGGAGGTCGGAAAACAGGCAGAAAATCAGAACCATGCACACAAAGGAAGTAGGATAATCCAGAGGATAAAGCCTCTGGGGGGAGTGGGGGCCTAATGGTTAGGGCATAGAACATAGAATCCTGAGGTTCTGAGTTCGAGCAGACTGCCACTGCTTGAACTGGGTCTCTGAGCAAGAACCTTAACTGGACACTGCTCCCCAAGCAGCCCATGATGGGAGCCCACTGCTCCCAAAGGGGATGGGTTAAATGCAGAGGTAAATTTCTCTAATGTGAGATCAATAAAAGTTAAATTAGGGGGAGTGTTGGCCTAGTGGTTAGAGCAGTGCACTTGTGCTCTGAGAAGGTTGCAAGTACTTGGTTCAATCCCCACAGCCTCCACTCTGGGTTCCTGCATAAAACCCTCAATCCCACACTGCACCCCCGACCCCACATAATGGCAGCCCACCACTCCCCAAATGCAGAGAGGGAATTTCCTCATTTTGGGGCAATTAAAAAAGGGTTTTACATTACAAAGCCAGTGTTGAATACACGCTCAGGAGTCATAGCCATGAGATCAGAGGTCCAAAGAGTTGCAGTACGGTGTCGGGAAATCCAGCAGCAGTCCAAAGACAGTTCAGGCAAACAGATCAGAATAGGGATAGGCAGACTCAGAGGTCCC